TTAATTATTATTTGGTTTTCTAATAAATGCATTTATGACTAAATTTCCTCTGGATACAACTTTAGCTGAATATAATGAAATTTCACACAAAGTTGCTTTTCCTGTTTAGTTCTAACTAATTTTTAAATTTTATTTTTATTTTCTTCTATAGCAATCATTACATAGTATCTTCATTACTTAATTCTAGGTTTATGTATTGTTTGGGGTATGTTTTTATAATTTTTAGTTTTATGCTAATATAATTGAAAATATTTGATGTCAGTTTTATCTGTCTGCCTATATTATTATGTTCTTGTTTTCCTTGCTTTATTTGTTTGTTCATATTCTGTCCTCCACTATGACTGTGGATTTATTAGTTTCTTTGTATATCTCCTGGTTTTTGTTTATTTATGAGCTAAGTTGTTAGTTACATAATGGTCATGACTATTATAATTCTTGTTGCCTGGCTCTTAGATGATGGCCCTGATCTGATTTCACTGAAGAATTTGAAGCTAGCAGAAGAGAATTTCTACAGGCTCCTGCTTCCTTATCTTTCTGCCTACCTTCATCTGTCCTCATTTTACCTTGTATCTTGTTGTGACATGTAAGCTTTCTGTGCCTTCATGCCAGTACCCTTACTTGTGTACTAAATTTCATTCCTTCTTGTCTTTTTAAGGACACTATTGGAGCAATTGCTCTCTTTGTCTACTCTGACATCAGCTTGTCTAGATACGTCCATATCTGTTATAAATTTTATCAGTGCACAAGCATGCTGTAATTTCTTTCATCTTAAAAGGATAAACAAAACAAAAGCAGAGATCTCTTGACACATATTTTTCTCTTGATACAGCTCCGTTTGTTTGCTACTTTTTACAACAAAACACAGAATAATTTTCTATGCTCTCTATTTCTAGCTCTTCTCCTAGTCTCTTGAATCTGGTTCAATGAGAACTTGCTCCCATTATTTTACCAAAACTGTTCCTGTGATGATTGCAAGTAACCTCCATATTTCGTTTTAAACAAGAAGATTATTTAAACAAGACACTTGACTTGAAGGGAATACTATCTAGGATTCCTTTTTTAAAGTAATTTGTCCCTACTTAAAAACAGATTGTCCTACATGTAACAGCTATGTACAAAAAAGTTATACAATTGTCCTTGGTTTTACATTGATAAGTGAAAAGCATTTAAATTCTCCAATTGAGCAAGATATGCAAGGATTTTTATTTTTTTGTTGTTGTTAAAATAGCAAGAGCAAAGTAACTTACTATAATATAAAGGTAAGAACTGAATGAGCATGCCATTAATAAAGAAAAGGGGGTGTTTTCACAGAATGAGTATTTGTCCACATGCCATCTCCACTTGAAATCAATCAAAACATACCATTGACTATTTAGTTTTTTAAAAATGCAATATGCTTGTGCACATATATCAGTTACTTTATGTACAATAAAGGAATGGGGAAGAGGAAAATGAAAGAATAGAGAAAACTACACTGTGGTAATCAGGATGTGGTGGAACCAAATTGTAATTTTCTAATTAAGAATGTAATATTTGTCTGTAAGAACAGAGTTCTAGAGTAAAGAAGCATGTTCCCTTTTTGGTAGACACCTCCTGTTTGCTGCTGGAACACATCATCTTCATCCTTCATTTCCAACTATGCAGAAGTGTTTGTTTCATTGATTGGTTGCCCATCAAATCAGAATCTGATCTGCCTCATTGACAAATACTGTCATTCACAATAGACTTTCAATAGTTTTCTGAGTTACAACCTTAGGCCCTGAAGCTAGCAAATATCCCAAGGGTAACTGTAACTTCAAAGCATATTCACCTCTCTACTTTCTGGTTCTCACTTCATTATTGTTCTTCTGAATTCTCTTTGCTTTCTTTTAGTATGTCTATATTTTTTAAAAAGATGTTTATCATATTTTACCCAAGTTTTATTGCTATTCTTTATGAAATCTGAAGCACCATTCATATATCAAGTATATCCACCATCACAGTAATAATTTACAGCATTTCTATTAACCACGCCCAAATTCCTTCATGCTTTTCCTTTCCAATCTATGGAAACCATTCACCTAATGTTTCATTCCTATAATTGTGCTTTATCCAGAATGTCATATAAAAAGAATAAAAATATATAGCCTTTAAAGTCCTGACTTATTGTTTCTATTATTGCTGAGTAGTGTTCCACTGTCTGGGTACCAAAGTTCGCTGATTCATTCACCTTTTGAGAGACATCTGATTGTTCTAGTTTGGAGCAATTATGAATAAAGCTGCTATAATTTTGGTATGCAGATGTTTGTGTAAATGTTAAGAGTAAATATCTACTAATAGTGATCATATGCTAAATGCATGTTTAACTTTGTAAGAAACCATCAATCTTTTTCTTACTGTGATGGTACATTTTGTATTCTCCGCAGTGAGTTTGAGACTTTTTGTGTTCTATTTATTGATCTGTATTTCCAACTAAAATACTATTTTTTATAGAATTTCTGGAACTTTATCACTGTAGACTCCTCTTCTGTGAGATAATTGCTTTTTATCCTTTTCAATATTCCCAGCGTTCCTTAAGATCATAGAAACCTTTTGTTATGTTTTAGACCTATAGTAATGCTTGGGAAAAGAAAACGATATTATTCTGGGTTGTGCATATAGAGTTGGCCTTGAATTGATGAGTAAATAAGAGAAGACATGAGACAAGGATAAGTAAACAAAAGTAACTCAACATCTTGTGTGAAAAGGATAGGGAGAACTAAAGAAGATAACCATGACTGGTATCTGGGAAGCAGTCTACAAGAGAAGAGGCAACTGGAGAGGTATATATGATTATAGACTTAGTATGAATGTGCAGTTTTTTCCATCTGTAAGGAAGTGATGGGGAAACCACTGATTTTCAGGCATCTATCTTAGGGTAGTAGGAAGAGTTGATTACAAAGGGATGGCACAAGGGTATTTAGGAGTGATAGAAGTGTGCTGGTAGATACATGACTTTAATCCTTATAGGTGTGTTTCTTTTGTCTGTTTTTTCCTCCAGTTTTTCAGTTGTGTTTAGGCCTTTTTTCACCTGATTTTTACCGAGTGCTAGACATTATAAAGAAAAATTACAAATGTAATTTGAAGCCTTGGATGACATTGTATATCTCCAATAAAGATTTAAGCTTGCTAGGGCAAACGGTCTTGAATCCCCTTAGAGCAAAATTTTGGACTTGAGGTGATTCAAAGATTATTCAGACATTAGATATTGATAATGTAATTTTTGGCCTTTAAGAACAGAGTTTTTGAGTAAAGAAGCAGCTTCCCTTTTTAATAGACACCTCTTGTCTGCTGTTAGAGCACATGAATTGTATCTTCATCCTTCATTTCTAACTGTGCAGGTGTGTCTCATTGATTGGCTGCCCATTGAATCAGAATCTGATCTGCCTCATTGAAAATACTGTCATTGGGCAACCCCTTCAGTTCCCCTCCCACTGTGGGAGTTTTTCTGTCCTCTCAATAAATCCTGTTTTCTAAAAAAAAAAGAAAAAAAATGCTATCATTACAATAAACTTTCAGTAGTTTACTGTAATATAACTTTATGCAACTGAAGCCAGCAAATGTCCCAAGGGTAGCTGTAACATCAAAACATGTTTACCTCTCTACTTTCCAGTTCTCACTTCATTACTGCCATTCTGGATTTTTTAAATTTTATTTTAATCATGTCTATGTTTTTTAAAGGCTTTGGACTGGTATATTGTTTCTCCCTTATTCCTCATTGTAGTAGCCCTCAGGGTTCCCAACCCAACGTATGGAGAATTTATGACAGGTTCTGTTCTCTAATTATTGTGGTCCTGCCCTGTAAAGCAGTCCAAAACATCACTTAGTCTCTCCCCTTATTAATTGCCTTTTCTAAAATTATGTGACTTCCTTAGGGGAAATGTGGACCCAAATGTTGGGCTCATCTCTGACTTTTTATATTTTTTTAACTTTCAGCCCATCAACTCTGTATTTCTATAATTACTCTCAGATGCCTTCAGTCAGATGCCTTTAATAATTTGCTGAATTTATATAATTGCTACCACCAGGAAGTTTTGTCTTAAATTACCATAAATAAATGTTTAAGATTTAGGAACTGATCATTAGATTGACTCCTGAAGAAGGAGAAAGAGCCAGCTTATATAGTTTCATACAGAGCAGTCCAAAGAGATGGAACAGGCCTTTTAAGGTGAAAAAGACCTTATGACCTTTTCAGAGTTTAAAGAAAACTAGGCTGGTTGACAAATAATAAGCAAACCTGAGAAGAGCCATGGGGGAAACCAGATATATAAACAGGGACAAGACCATGGAGGAGGAGAAAAAGCCAAAGTCATAGAAGAGTTTGGATTTTATTCTGAGTTTAATTTGAAAGCTATTAAAAAGTTTTAAGCAGAGACAGAAAATCATGGTCTGAATCTGAAGTCAGAACCAGTTGATGGAAAGTATTAAAAGCAGAGATTCCTATGATCTGTTTCTGATTCACCAGCAATTAGCCTGTTGTCATATCTGAACATCTATAATTTTATCAAGCTCCCTAGGTGACTTTGATCCCCACCAGAACATAAGAACCAATGACATTAAAAGTCTCTTACTCTCTTTCTTTGTCTTCTCAGATGATTTTTTATTATTCTTTGATCTCTCAGGTGCTTTTTAAAAGTGTTAATATATGAAATTATTCTAAGCTAATATTGTTTTGAACCTAGGCAGAAATACTACTACACCATAAAATCAGTTTAATGTGTTTTGGCTATGTGTGTGTGAGCAAGAGAGAGCAAGAGAAATAGAAAAGAGTAGAATATTTTAGAATAGGAGACAGGGAACATATTATTTTATGAAACTATATAGTAGACTGTGATGTGAAAGGTAAGTATTATTATGAGTCATGGTGCACAAACTTTAAACACACTCATGTATGACTGTTATTTCTTATGGGTTTGTTTCTAATTATTTTTGCTGTAGAAGTTCTATTTCTCCTCAATTTATGATGTTCCTTTATCTTTTAGACTTGCCTTCAAGGTGTGCAAGTAAGGACTTATCTCCAAAAAATAAAACTTATGCAACAGAATTATCCCAATGGGAAATGAGTGAGAGGCTTGAAAACTGTGACCTTGAAAAGTCCAATTCCAGAAATTATTTGGAAGTCAAAAGCAAGTTGGAGAAGCAAAAAGAAAATCAAAAGGAATACTTCAGGCAAGGGATGATCACATATTACAAAATGTCCATTTTCAACCAGCATCCTTACTTATCCCAACATCCAAGATGTTATTCTACTGAGAAACCCTATAAATGTAAGGAATGTGGGAAAGCCTTTAGACGAGCCTCACATCTAACTCAACATCAAAGCATTCATACTGGTGAAAAACCCTATGAATGTAAGCAATGTGGAAAGGCCTTTAGTCGTGATTCACAACTCAGTCTTCATCAGAGGCTTCATACGGGTGAGAAACCCTATGCATGCAAGGAATGTGGAAAGGCCTTTACTCAAAGCTCACAACTTATTTTGCATCATAGAATTCATACTGGTGAAAAACCATATAAATGTGAAGAATGTGGGAAAGCCTTTATTCGTAGTTCACAACTCACCCGACATCAAAAAGTTCATACTGGTGAGAAACCTTATGAATGTAAAGAATGTGGGAAGGCCTTTACTCAGAATTCACAACTTACTTTGCACCAGAGACTTCATACTGGTGAGAAACTGTATGAATGTAAAGAATGTACAAAGGTCTTTACTCAGCTGTCACAACTAATTCTGCATAAGAGAATTCATACTGGTGAGAAACCATATGAATGTAAGGAATGTGGGAAAGCTTTTATTTGTGGCTCACAACTTTCTCAACATCAGAAAATTCATAATGGCGAAAAACCATATGAATGTAAGGAATGTGGAAAGGCCTTTATTCGGGGTTCATTACTTATGCAACATCAGAGGATTCATACTGGTGAAAAACCTTATAAATGTGAAGAATGTGGGAAGGCTTTTATTCGGGGCTCACAACTTACTCAACACCAGAGAATTCATACCAATGAAAAGCCCTATGAATGTAAGGAATGCGGAAAGACCTTTAGTCATGGCTCACAACTTACTCAACATCAGAGAATACATACTGGTGAGAAACCCTATCAATGTAAGGAATGTGGAAAGGCATTTAATCGTGGCTCACTCCTTACTCGACATCAGAGGATTCATACTGGTGAGAAACCTTACGAATGTAAAGAATGTGGAAAAACCTTTAGTCGTGGTTCAGAACTTACTCAACATGAGAGAATTCACACTGGTGAGAAACCCTATGAATGTAAGGAATGTGGGAAATCTTTTATTCGTGGCTCACAACTTACTCAACATCAGAGAATCCATACTGGTGAGAAACCTTATGAATGTAAAGAATGTAGAATGGCCTTTACTCAGAGTTCACATCTTTCTCAACATCAGAGACTTCATACTGGTGAGAAACCCTATGTATGCAATGAATGTGGGAAGGCCTTTGCACGTGGCTTGCTACTTATACAGCATCAGAGAATTCACACAGGTGAGAAACCTTATCAGTGTAAGGAATGTGGGAAGGCCTTTATTCGTGGTTCACAATTGACTCAACATCAGCGAATTCACACTGGAGAAAAACCCTATGAATGCAAAGAATGTGGGAAGGCCTTTAGTCATGGCTCTCAACTTACACTACATCAGAGAATCCATACTGGTGAGAAGCCCTATGAATGCAAAGAATGTAGAAAGGCCTTTACTCAGAGCTCACATCTTTCTCGACATCAGAGAATTCATACTGGTGAGAAACCATATCAATGTAAGGAATGTGGGAAGGCCTTTACTCGTGGTTCACAACTAACTCAACATCAGAGAATTCATATCAATGATAAATCATTTGAATATAAGGAATGTGGGATTGGCTTTAGTCATGGCTAACAAGTTTATATGTGAATTATCTAATTTTTGAGTGCTTTCTCTTGTTCATTATCAGCAAAGAATAATTCACAGATGTGATGATGGAAGCCCATTTGCCTCATAAAGCACAGCATCAGAGAATTTATGTGGGAGAAAGAAATCATTGTCATCCCTGTAGAAAAACCTATCATTACTGGAAACATGATAAACTTTAGCAAATTAGAGAGTAATTCTATTAATATAGGAAATGTAGGAAGGCCTGTAGCCTTACAACATTATCTTGGCTCTACTAGTTGATTTCCTTTATTATATGTATCATGATAATTAACTTCTTCTTTGGTTTAATCATTTGTAAGATAGACCTAAGAATAATACCTTTATTATAAAACTCTTAGCAGTATTATGTAAATTATTACATGTAAAAGTTCTTAGCACAGTGCCTTGAACATAGCATATCACAAATATTAGCTACCATTTCCACTGTTATTTTAGAGAAGTTGCATGAAAGGAGAACACTTTTGAGTATAATGGATATTGAGAAATCTTTCATCAGCACTTATCCCAGATGATTTGGTTGGGGGCCACTGTATGCCATTATGAATGTGAGAAAGGTACCATTTAAATCTCATCCCTTATGCTTAGAGAAAATGTGTACTGTAAAGAAACTTGATTTAATCAGTGGATTATTGAGCACGGCTGTTAGAGAATTTGGGAGAGATGTAAACTGATTTGTAACAAAGTCTAAGACCCAAAGTCTAATAAATCTAAGAATTTTTTTAAAACTTAAATGTTCTGCTTTTTAAGTAAGCTAAAAATAAAAACTGACATTATAAACTATTTTTCAATGAAAAGTTATGAGAGTGTGTGTCAGAGAATGCTTTGTTTCTTACTCAATACCTGTTTTCTTTTTTTAGTAACAACATTCTGGGCTGAAAAACCTTTTTTGTCATCTTTCCTTACAGGTTAACAAGATAGAAGTAGTATTTGTATGAGTAGGACATTTAAGATATCCATTTTCTATCTGTCTTTTTGCTCTCCTCCAGTGTGGACATCTAAGCTGGAGCTCCAGTTCTCTTATGGGGATTTTCAGAATGGCATCTGAATGTTATAGATGCTGGAGCAGAAATGCAGTAGTCTGCTCCCTGATGATTCTGTGAAACAACCATACTGGGTCTAGTCTGCCTTCCACATTTCTTTATTAAAAATTGAAATAAACATTTGTTGGTGCTATTGTAGTTCTGTTATGACAATAAAAATTCTTAATGATAAGTTTTGTACCTAGAAGTAGGGTGCAATGGAAAAAAGAAATCTCAATTCTGACATTGATGTAGAGCCATTGAGAATGAGGATCTACCCAGTTCAGGCTAGAAAATGGAAGATTCTTGTTTTTATAGGCTGGACACTTGGTCATTGCTTCCCATTCTTAACAAGGCGTACTACCAACAGAGACTATGATGGTAGAAGAAATGCTAGGAGTGATTCAGAATGTGTGTGTTGGGTGTTTCTTACTGCTTTCAGTAATGTCCTATGAAAGAGATCAATTCAGAGTAGAGCTTGGCAATCTGGCACCAACTGAAAGCAATATTGCTTTCTTAAGAGATGCTATCTGTGATGGCAGATATTCAATTCTTTGCATATGAAGCCATTTATAGTAATGGAAAGTGACAGCCTGAACAAGATATGAGACCACTGCTGACTCATATGAATGTTTGAATATGCATTCCCTGCCTGAGCTTATTGTTCTAAAAGTAGTCATTTATTGGGTGTGTACTATATTCCATCCACTGTACTAGGTGTTTGGGATATATCAGTGAAAATTCTGTCAGGAGGACGTTGAATAATAGTACATATAGAGCATGTTAGAACTTAAGTGTTATAGTGAGAAAAGTACCTCAAAAGGAGGGGTGAGGGAAGCGACAACTTACGTTGTTTTATTAAATACAATGATCACAGTAGACCATCAAGAAGGAAAGACAAGCCAATATTTGAAGGAGTGAGGTAGTAAGTCAATGATTGTCTATGTGAAGAGCATTCTAAACAGAGGAAAAAGAGGAGTCCTACAGTGGGACTATGCTGATGTATATTAGGAACATCAGGGAAGTTATTGTAGAGTTGTGTGCAAAAGTAATTGCTAGGGCAGGAGATCAGAGAGATAACAGGGTATATCTTGCCAAGCCTATAAACTGTTGTAAGCATCTTAAATTTTATTTTGAGGGAAATTTACAGTCAATGGAGATTTTAGAGCATAGGACATGACCTTCATGTAGCTGTAGCTGTTGTAAAAACAAAATGGATAAGAGTAGGAAACTGTAGTAATAATTCAGATGAAAGATGATGTCCTGGCTTAGAAAAAAGTGGTAACAACGTTTATGGTGAGAATTGTAGTCTAGGTGTATGGTAAATGTGACAGAGCAAATGATTTTATGTGAAGGTTTAAGGTATAAAAGAGACAAGTACAGGGTAACATTAACTCAAAGTCTTTGATCCTGTGCATTTGAAAATAGTGTTTCCATCAACTAGGATAGGGAAGGCATCAGTTCCAGCAGAATTGTAGGGGAAGATCGGAGTACAATTTTGAAAATGTTGAGCTTGAGATGTCTTTTGAGACACAAAATGGCAATATTGAGTAGACTTTGATGTACTAGGTTGTACAAATCTAGATATTATATTGCCTTGGTAGGTTTTGCATATACTTATTTAAAATAATGAAGCAGGATATCATTTTGGGTGTAGAGAGAGTAAAGAACAGCAAGGCCTGAACCATGGAGCATTTCAATATTAAGAGTTCCATGATAAAAGAACAGCAAACACTAAAGAAGCTAAGAAGGAAAGTCAATATGGGAGAAATCCAGGACATTGTGGAATTACAAAAAGCCAAATAAAAGTGAAGTGAAGGAGAATCAGTGATAACAGCTTTGGGAGATTATATAACATGAAGTTTGAGAATTGGCTATTAAATTTATCAGTATTGATATTGGTGACCTTGAGATGAGCACAGGTTTTTTTGTTTGAGGTGATTTGATTTTGGAGTGATGGAAGCAAAAACTTGAAAAGGTAGAAGTTGGAGATGACTATAGAGAACACAGCACAGGGGACACAGCAGTCCACAGGCACACAGGTCATCCCAGTCTCTAAGCTCTAGTGTAGGGAAACCTGCAGGGAGAGTCATGCCAAGCATGAAGCACCCTAAGGGAGGAATTCCATAGTGCATCCTGAGCTCATGTTTCTTCAGCCTTGTCAATCTTCTACTTCTAGAATCTATGGACCTTCTGCTTAACCTCCTGGAGGAAACAGTCCAAAGCCCAAACCTAATGCATAGTGACAGAGGGCTCCTGAACCCAGTGCTTCAAAGATCCCGTCCAAGACAAACACAGCACCGTGATGGTAACTCACTGCTCGTGAAACACATAGGCACAGTTGGCAGATCAACTTGAACTCCCAGAAGGCAAATACACAGAAGCACAGAGAAGGGTAGGATTGGTGCCAGAAAAAGAACTGGCCCATCTGTCCTCTACTCAGGACAGAATAACCAAACTGGGTTGCTGTGGACACTCCAGTAAGGTACTTAAAGTGGGCACTCTGGACTCCCCTTTAAATCAAAGGCAGTCACCTAAATCATGCAAGTTCCAAAACAACAAAAACAGGAAGCCAAATAGAAAACATTCACAACAGACTAACAGCCAAACCAGAAACAGGGACAGGCTCACCGGAAGAAATGCAAACTTGAGAAAAGCTCAGCCCCAGTGTGATCACATGGGCTTTTGTGTCCCTGGTGGGGATTCCTTGCACAGAATTACATATCACTCCAAAATGCAAAAAAGACGCAGATGAAATCAAACATAACAAGATGGACTATGATTGGCTGCATTTCATCCAGTGGAAACCATGAAGCCTTTTGATTAGGCATTGAGATAAAGAGTTGTCTTTGTGGCAAAGGCATGGATGATCTTCCCATGTTTCCAGTTATTAAGAACTATATGTGGGAAGAAAAAAAAAAAAAACTTAGGAAACATATCTCCAAAATTGAACTAAATGAACTGGAAAACTTTTTTTTTTTTTAGTTGAAGTCTCACTCCCTCACCCTGGAGGGAAGGTGGAGTGCAGTGACACTCTCACGACCACCCCAGCATCAACCTGGCAATCCTTCCACCTCAACCTTCCAAGTAGACAGAACTACAGGCATGCACTACCATGCCCGGCTATTTTTATTTTATTGTAGAGACAATGACTTGCCAAGTTGCCCGGGCTGGTCTCGAACCCATGGGCTCAGGCAATCCACTCGCCTCGGCCTCCCAAAGTGCTGGGACTACAGGCTGAGCCACCAAGCCCAGCCCAACATTTTGATATAACTGAGGTGAATAAAAATAAAGATCCATCAAGTATATGGAAGACAAAAAAAGATGAAGGGTATGGAATAGGTCACATACCTGCACAGGAGTTGGCACTTCCAACTGCCATGCCGATCCAGGAATCATGCAAAACTAGTGACCTAACCAGAAAAGCCATAGTTTAAGTTGGAGAGTGTCTTCACGTTTTTGTCTTCTCAGTCATTGTGTCATGGTGAGGTTAGCTGTGACCATTAGGAGAAGGAGGAAATGGAGTTAAAAGCACCATCTTTGACATTTGTTTGCAACTCTCCACATGGAAAATGAGTTCCTGTTAGGTTCCTGTGGTTGAATGTGATGTTGTGGTCTGATTTGGGTAAAAGTGGCACCTCCAGATGAGGAGGTTACGCCTACCCTTGCAGGGCCCAGGCCTTAAAATATCAAACTGGAACCTTAAAAAAATGGATTGCATCCAGCCATACAGCTGAGATTTGAGACCATGGCAAGTGCCTGCTATGATCAGGTATAAGGGAGACATTGAACTCATGAATCTGTGAAATTTCAGCTGACACATTCACTCAAGGACTCGGGTGTCTTGATAGAATTTATGTTAAGGCCTGGGACCAGCAAGAGTAGGACTAATCTACCCATCTAGAGATGACACTTTCCCACTTCTTTCTAATGCCATTCCTGCACACAGCAGCCTTTCAGGAATCTGATCCTGACAGAAGCCCGGAGTGCCCACCTCTTGCCCTTAAGCTCTCCCTCCACCAGGAACCAACACTGAAATATGCTCGAAGTAATCCTGAATAGAGGACACTTAGGTTCTGGTTTTTGGTTCCTCGCAGCCTGCCTTCCCACTGTCTGCCCCCTCTCGCTTTTTGAGGTGGCAGCCTGATTTCTTGGTGTCAAGCTGACCTTCAAATGCACAAGTGTGTTGTACAAGTGCATGCTTGCATCACAGTGACAGTGGTGGTTGCCTGGGAAAGTATCCCTGAGTTTCCAGTATCATGAGCCCTCTGTGGCAGAGTGTCAGTGTTGAGATCTGGCCATTCCTCTCCCAGGAGTCCAGTGGTGGGTTCAGGGATTCTAAGAGTGGAGGAGGGCTCACAAAGCTGAAGAAACACCAGAAGAGCTTGAAGGATCCCTGTGTCAGGTTTGCCTTGATGGTGTGCAGGTGACACCTTCCACTTATTGTTCTTGCCCCCCTTCTATCCTGCCTGGTAAGCCGAAGGGCCTTATACATGTGTGACCATGGGCTGTTGTGTTCCTGGTGGGGATTCCTTGCACAGAGCAGAAGACTGCACAGTCTTAGGAGCTGCCGGTGCATGCATGTCTGTGTGTGTGAGTGTGTGTGTGCATGCGCACATATGTGTATGTGTATGAGATGGTGGAGTTGTGTTTGTATATTTGTGTGTATGGTGTCTGGTGGGACTCATATGCTGTGTGTATAAGATGGTGGGGTTGTGTATGTTTGTGTGTGTGATGTCTGGTGGGACTCAGGTGCCCTGT